TATATATATATATTTATTTATTTTTATTTTTTTTAAGAATTTTTATTAAAACATCGCTAACATACAATATTATATTAGTTTCAGGTATACACCACAGTTATTTACATTTATATACTTAAAGAAGTGGTCTCCATGATAAATCCAGCAACCATCTGACACCATATTACGCTATCACAATATTATTGACAATATTCCTTATGCTGTACATTACATCCCTATGACTTATTTGTTTTATACGTGGAAATTTGGACCCCTTATTCCCCTTCACCTTTCCCCCTTTTCTAAAATTTTTCAATTTTTCAAGTTGACATTCAATATTATTTTATGTTAATTTCAGGTGCACAGCATAGTGGTTAGACATTTTTATAATTTAAGAAGTGATACCCCTGACTAGTGCTCACCTGGCACTATGCATAGCTATTACCATATTATTGACTACATTCCCTGTGCTGTACTTTGCATCTCCGTAACTATTTTGTAACTACCAGTTTGTACTTTTTTTTTTTAATAGTTTCAGGTGTACAAAACAATGCCATAGTTATCCTTTTCACCCCTCACAAAGTGACAATTCCCCTCCCCCCATCCACTGCCCTCCCACCCCCGATATCATACTTATCTATTACAATTCCACTGACTCCATTCCCACACTCTCCTCCACACCCCGTAACTATATGTGTGTATATATATATATATATATATATATATATATATATATATAATTATAGTTAACATATAATATTATTCAACATCAACTTCAGATAGGGTTGTTGTAAATATTAAGTTAGTTGTTGCATATAAAGGATTAGGACATTGCAAGGCCTAGCCTAAGTAATGGAATGATATGTAAGGTTTCTGCATTTTTAGTCCTTATGTGATTGGTAAATATTCTGTAAAATGATAATATAAACAAAGTCCTTGCTGTCTGTAAATGGTTAGGCTGGTTGGTTTGTTGCATAACAATCTCAATAGATATCATCATGCTCATAGGCTGCAGGTTGCCTGGGACCCAATTTACTTAGGCTAGGCACAGCTAGGGGGTTCTCCCTCAGACTGCAGGTGGGGTTCATACCTGTTTTTTCCATGACCAAGCCCAGGATCAGAAGAGGGTCCCTGCTGAGTCACATTTGATGATATGACATGGCCAAGTTCACAGTCAACTCCACCTCCTCAACTCACTGCAAAGTCACATGGCAGTAGGAAGGAGTGTAGAATTGGGAACCATAATCCAATCTTTCCTAAAGATCAGGGGGTTTTATCCAGAATTCTTTAAAAATATTGAACTTTTTTATAGATTAATACACTGACACTGACTGCATTAAACTAGCCCTCCCCATCACCCTTTAATGGTAACTATAGAGAACATAATTTAACCCATTTAAAATAAAAATAATAACTACATATGGAATATTATGCTATAATTTCATCTTACTGAAAATTGTTGATTTATGAAAATGACCAGACCTATTGATTTTATTAAAATCACCTTGGCCTACAAAATGAGAGACTATTTAATACCCAGATCATAAACTCAAATGTCTTTAGAGAATAGGAAGGCAACGTCAATCTGTGAAGCACTTGTCCTAAGGAGCTGGAAGTAGAGAGAACCCTGGGCTGAGTGACTGTATGTGGCCCATGTCAGGCATTCAATGCAGTGTTTATATTAAGCACTCCAAATAAGATAACATCAGTTTGTGATACTCAACTACACATATAAACAATTATTTAAATCTTTATTACTCAAAAGGAAGAAACAAATGACCACCAAACTTTATTTTTGCTGTGCTTCAAAGTAATACAAGGCATTTTTATTCTACACATTAGAAAAATTACTACTTTACTATTTGGTCATAACATTTTTTTTATGCATTTCAGATTGAAGAGGTTCCAGGAGAGTTCACCCAGGATGATTTAGCAGAAGATGATGTCATGTTGCTAGACGCTTGGGAACAGGTAAAACTATATTTTGTGCATACCAAAAGAGTGTATCAGTTGGGAGCTGATAAAACCTGCTTTGCAAAGTGGCAAGTCTAATAATATTGGGTTGTCGGAAAAGTCATGACGCATTTTTGAATGAAAAACAGAAAAAAATACGTCATGACTTTTCCGACAACCCAATAAATGGGCCTGTGGATTTAGGCTGCATTTAAAAGAGACGCAGCACATTTTGGCAAAAAATGAAACTGATGCATGTAACAAGTTGATGTCTTAATATGGAAATGATTCCACAACTACCATCTTTGGAAGTATAGTTTTAGGTAAAAACTTCTATTTTTCATTTATTTGTAAAATTCACTCACCCCTAACTTATTCATCCATTCACAATAAGTGCATTAGTGGGTACAATAAATGTGGGGTATAATACAGGTACAAAGCCATGGGGGAGACTGAAATATTCAGTTTATCTAAAAATTTGACAAAACGTCATAGGAGACTCTTACTTACGCTGGATGAAACAGACACAGAATGATTTTGAGTCTACAAAGTAAAGTATGTCACTGTAATACATATCTTATTAATGGTCATTTGACATGGCACATCTGACAGTTTGTTTTTTGTTTTTTGTTTTTTCTGTGTAAACTAACAATAGTGAAAGAGGAAAATAGAGATATTAGAAACTAAAGGATATAAGCAGTTATGAAACACTTACTTGAATTTGACCTACTCTGAGATCCAACCAAAGAGATTGTTGCTTTTAGATCTGCTCTAATTGCTAAGTCATGCATTTATATTACTCCTTAGCTTTTTGTTAACTTGACTTACCGTGGTGGCGATCGTTTTGCAATATGTACATACAGTGCAGCTAATGTAGTGTTGTGTATCAATTATACCTCATAGTTTTTATTTACATTAAGTATGTTCTAAGCTCTTCAAGCAATATTCCAGCACTATCAGTACGAATTAGAACACTATCAAAACTAAAACTAATTTGGCCAAAATTTCTCTGCCCACAAGTGATTTTAAAGTGATTTAAATATAAAGTAATTTCGGAGAACTTTTTATCGTTGATGTACCCAACCTACACATTTAACAAGGAGAAGGATACATACAGAATATACAATTGCATCAGTTAAAAAAAAAAACAAAAAAACTCAATACTTAAATGCTAAACATTATAGTTCTTTTACCAAAGTGTTATAGGATACGATACTATATGAAAACGCTAGGCTTACGTCAGAGGTTCATAAGGGGAGTCTCTGGTGCCCACAAACAAGCTGAGTCTTGCCCCCCACCCACTCCAGTCTAATACCCCAGTATAATAATACAGGGATAATGATTTCCTTATGTACTCCAGGGGTGGGTGCCAAAATAAATAAGTAAAAAATAACAGGCAATAAGTTGTTTTTGAGAAAGTTCACTCAATAAACTAGAAAATACTGTATAAACGTAATATATCAGAATATGAAACCTGGAGTCCAACGTGTCTGCATATAAGTTTAGGTGTCTCGTGATAAGTGTAAGCACTGAGAAAGTGGTCGACCTTCTCTACGTCTGTCTCCACATTTCTAACTTTCTAACGTCCGGGGTTGTTTTGAAGATTAAATGAACAATGTATGACAAGCACTTTGCATAGGCCCTAGCACGGAGTCAGCATGCCCCAAACAGCACATATTATTATTGCTTCATTTTTCAGATTTTCATTTGGATTGGCAAAGATGCCAACGAAGTCGAGAAGACAGAATCTCTGAAGTCTGGTAAGCTAGATAACAATGATTCTGAAAAATTCAAATTCCCTTACGTTTTTAATTATAGAAATAGTAAAACCTCCATAACTGTGATAAACTCGATTTTTTTTTAATTCCTTTTGAGTCATACTGTTCTTTCTGGCTCAATTTTTTTTTGTCATTGAAAAACAGAAGAATAATTATGCCATAAGGATAACTGCATAAAGTTTGGATTTTTCTCAGTAAATAATAAAACTCACATGGCACATTCTATAGTAGATGAGAAAAATCTATAAGGGATTGTTCAGATGGAACAGTATTTGGCTACTTGGGGGGCAAGGAAAATGTAATGTATTACTTTTACTGGGAAACTTTTCATTCTATAGCTAACTGAATTTGTATCTTTGCACCTCTTTTTAGCCAAAATGTACCTTGAGACAGATCCTTCTGGAAGAGACAAGAGGACACCAATTATCATCATAAAACAGGGCTATGAGCCGCTCACGTTCACAGGCTGGTTCCTGGGCTGGGATTCCAGCAGGTGGTAAACTGGTTTTTGTAGGAAATAACAAACCAACAACCATTTTGGAGTAGTGTCCCACTGCTGTTTTGAGGGGACAAAGGGGGGCTGTGTTTGACTTTAGAAAATTAACCTCAGCCCTGTGGCGATTAGTCAATGCTTAGTATTGGTTTGAAATTCTTTTTAAACTGGAATTTTCATACGTTAGTATTTTTAAATGACCTAAACATTTGTGATGGACCATTGTTAGCTCTGCCGAAAACAGATTTAAATATTTTTTACATGACCTCTTAAAGGTGAAAAGCTACTCACACGGTCGGGGAGCGTGTCAGGAAATTTTATAATTCAGGAGCCATTAGCCAAGCTAGTTCCTTAACGTGCCAGAGAAGAAAGCCGGAATGCCTTGCAAGTTCTTCTCCTTTCCATGCTGCGTTCAAAAGAGGAGTGTATTTGCAGTAAGGTTTATGTTAAGATGGCTTTAAAAGTTTATTGTTTTCCTTCTTTAGCCAATGTGACTCTGATACATATCATTAATTCCAAAGTGTCATTTTTCTAAGAAAAGCTTTACCTTTCTTGCCTTTTTCAAAGCCTTTGAAAGCACAGCTCTTACATGACAAAATAATTTGTATTCTTATCCATATATATATATATACATATATATATATTTGACAGTACATGTTTAATATCACTAAAGATATATACAAAAAAACTTCACTAATCCTGCCTTTCATCATTAAAATACATCTGTTTTTGAAAAAATTTTTTGTTGTGACATTTTCTTCAAATGTGATATGTGAGTTAATTAGGCCATTAATTTTAACGTTAAATCGTTATTTAACGTTAATTAGACCATTAATTTTAACGTTAAATCCTCATTCGCAGTATTTGATAACTGGCAAAGCATCCCTCTGACTTAAAAGCCCTTTCCATGTCTGACCTTTTCCTCACATAAAATTCAAGGCAGTAAATACTCAAAAAAAATCTACACGTCAACAGCAAAGATTTACTTTCTGTTTACTCTAGAAATAGATTTTTATTTTAAAGCATCAAGGAGGGAAGTTATCTATTTGTACATCTCTTCAAGTCCTTTAAGACAGTGTTCTGCCTGATTAAAACAAAATGAAGAAATAAAGAAAATAATAACTCAGAGATGTGTACATCCAAACAGCACGATAGAGGGCGCTCTTTGTCCATGTTCATGAGGAAAGACTTTGCTAGTTCCTGAAAACACTGAGAAATGCAGTCATATTTATTTTTATGTTAGATTGGGAAAGAGTAGTGTTTCTAGACAGGTCAAATGTGACTGTGTTCTAGTCTAGAAGTATTTTATACTTTTTTTTTTATTTTGAGGTTCCATAGAGGGCAATCATATTGATTTTATAATGTATTTGCTACATACCAGGCTATCCTGACATCAGGTGTATCCTTCTGTGTGTGTGTGTGTGTGTGTGTGTGTGTGTGTGTGTGTGTGTGTGTGTATCCTGCTGTATTTACTAGTGCTGGTGTGAGTGTGTGTGTGTATTCTGGGCACCTGTAAGGGTGACCTGCCCTCACAGAGCTTATAGTCTAGTGTGGAGAGACAGAAAAGAAGCAAATACTCAAATCCATATTGTGCAATGTAGCAATAAGTGTTTTGAAGAAACATAAGGCTGGAGAGGGATAGGAATTGTGAGATGAAGGATTCTATTTTAGATAGAGTGAACAGGGAAGACCTCTTCAAGGTGATGTTTAGGCAGAGACCTGAAGGAAGTGAGAGAATGAGTCTGTGATGATTAATTTTATCTGGAACCTTGACTAGGCCATGGGATGCCCAGACTTCTTGTTAAACATTACTCCTGGGTGTGTCCATGGAGGTGTTTCTCAGAGAAATTAGCATTCACATTGGTGGACTGAGTAAAGCAGATGGCCTCCCCTATATGGGTGGACATCGTCCAATTTGTTGAGGGCCTGAATAAAACAAAAAGGAGAAAGAAGATTGAATTCTCTCTCTCTGTTGAACTGCTTGAGCTGAAACATCAGTCTTCTCCTGCCTTTGAACTGTGCCTTACACCATCAGCTCTCCTGGTTCTCAGGCTGTGGGGCTTGGACTGAATTACATCACCAGCTTTCCTGGGTCTCCAGCTTGCAGACAACATACCGTGTGGGACTTCTCAGCCTCCACAATCACATGAGTCAGTTTCTTATAAGAAATCTCATAAATATATATATATATATATATATATATATATATATATATATATATATATATATATATATATATATATATATATATATATATCCTATTAGGTTTGTTTCTCCGGGGAACCATGCTAATACAGAACCCTGAGCCTATCTCTGGGTGGGGACCAGCAGAGCGTTTCATGCAGACGGATAAGAAGCTGCTTGGCTTCAACGAATTGTGAGGAAGCCAGTGTGGCTGGAATAGATTGAGAGAGATGGAGAAGGGAGGTCAGAAAGGTAATAGGAAGCTTAGAGCACATGGAACTTATGGAATTCTCATTGTCCCTCTGGGTGAGATATGGTAGAGTGACGTGATTTGTCTCACGTTTTGAAAGGATCGGTCTGGCTGCTGAGTCAAGAAGAGGCCGAGGAGACTGCAAGCCTGGAGGGAGAGGCCAGTGAGGAGGCTTTGATTAGAACGCAGGCAGAGCTGACGGTGCTGATGGCAAAGCAGGACTGGATTCTGACCTGTTCGGAATATGAAGCCATGTTTATATGATACAGGGTGTGAGAAAATGACAGAAACCAAGTGTCAGAGGCGTTGCCATTTGCTGAGCTGGGAAACACTGGTGGAGAAGGTTTGACCGGGGAAACAGGAACTGATAATGCTTACTTTTGAAATGCTTACCCTATTGGATAGTCAATTGAAGCTGTTGAGTAAGGTGTTCAAGTTCAATAGAGAATTCATGGCCAGGGATGTATATTTGATGAGTCAGTGTATAGATAAATGTAAAGACATAGGAGTGGGTATGATGACCAAGAGTGTGAGCGTAGATAAAGAAGACGTCTGAGAGTAACTGAGTCTGGGATGCTCCGTCATGTAGAGGTGCGGGAGGCGAGACAGGGCCTGCAAAGAAGATGAGGAAAAGACCCCGGTGAGGCAGGAAGAAAACCAAGAGAGTCCATGGGAGAATGCTTTGCTGAGGTTGTTGACCTTATTCTGTTATCAACATGTGAATTTTAAGGAAAGAACAACCCATGCCTTTCTGATAATTTCCTAACACTATAACCAAATATTCTTGTGAATGTTCTAGCTTATGGGGTAGTTAGCACCAAATTGAGCATTCCTAAAGCAGTGCTTTTCAACCAGGGCCCATTTTACTCCCCAGGGGACACTTGGGAAAAATATCTGGTGACATTTTTGGTTGTCACAACGAGGGACATCTAGTGCTACTGGTGTCTAGTGGATAGAGTCCAGAGATGCTGCTAAGCATCGTACAGGGCACAGGCGAGCCCCTCACAACAAAAGATGATTCGTCAATAATTCAAAGTGTCAGTGGTACTAAAGCTGAGAATCCCTACCCTAGAGTAACTACATTTCATAATGGAAATAAAGCACTGTGTCACTACAGGGAAATGTTACGGAAAAGAACTGAAATGAAATAACACCACATGGTAAGATAGCTGCTTCATTTTTTTACATGATGTGTCACATAAAGAGCCAAATAAGATCTCTGAATCAGTGAACTAAACTTGCCATATTCTTAGCATCATGACATAGAGACCCTATACCTAAGACCAAATTATTGGGTTGTCAGAAAAGTCATGATGTATTTTTTCTATGTTTTCCATTGCAAACATGTGTCATGATTTTTCCGACAACCCAATGTTTAACAGATATAAACTATATGGGTACAAGTATGCTATAGATAATATTTTAAAACATTTTTAAACACTACGCTTTTGATATTCTATATTTAAAATCCATGTTGTTGAATCGTAGGGTATTCATTTCCTATTGCTGCTATACACAATTATCCCAAATTTAGTGGCTTTAAACAACACAAATATTGTGTCTTTCAGTTCTGGAGCTCAGAATTCTAAAATGGGTCAATAGGGTTAGGTTCCTTCTGGAGGCCCTAGGAGATAATCTTTCCTTGCCTTTTCCAGCTTCTTGTGGCCGCCTGCATTCATTGGCTTGCGGCCACTCCTTCCATCTTTAAGCTTACACTGTAGTATCTTCAAAAATATCTCTCTCTCTCCCTGTCTGACCTCTGTTATGTGACCAGCAACATCTTCTCTGACTGAAGTTTCCTGCCTCTCACTTTCACTTATAATGACTCTTGTAGTTACATTGCAAGCTCCCCGCCCCCCCCCTCGGATAATCCTGGATAATCGCCATATCTCAAGATCCTTAATTTAATCATATCTGTGAAGTCCCTTTGCCATCTAAAGTAATATATTCTACAGGTTCCAGACAGGATGTGGTCAGAGTGCTATTATTCTACCTACAGCACTGGGTAAAAAGGTATACAATGAAATCAGTATTCTAGTTGGTTCCCATATTGGGTAAAAGCTGACAGCCTGAGAAGCTAGTAGATTTTCCCACTCTCCTCCACCAATTCCACCTTCAGCCTAGACCCTCATTTCTAAAATAGAAAATAAATATAATTGGAGCAGAAGAAAATCTCATCAGCATTTCACCTCTTTCCTAATCCTTGCAAAGTTGCTGTTCTTGTTCCCACCTGACAATTTTATGAACAGAGACATAAAGAAATCTCCCATTCTGGACTCACATAAGGCAGCTGCTGTCTGCACAATTATAGGAATACTCCTGGAAAGACAAAAGTGTAGGCCGGCCAGTTATGGAGACCAGGGAGTGGGTAGGCTGTCTCATTTGAGTTTAACCAAAAACAAAATATTTTGAACAACTAAAGATCTAATTTAATAAAATAATTTGGAGCTTTTCTGTTTGAAAGTGGCATTTTCCTGTTTGCAGTCACAGGGTCTGTGAATTTTATGTATTTGAAGATCTAGTGGGGATATTGCTAGAATGATAATATTTTCAGTGAATCACCAGTGAGGTTAGGCAATAGGCTGCTAATGGTGCATAATGTTCAACCCAGGTTTGACTGAGAAGGAGCGTTGAGTTCTGAATATAAAAATGCTTCTAAAAAGGTCACGTTTTTATAAGGTCAAGTATTATTTTACATGAACTTTTATTAAGGGCACCAGTAATAACATCTTTTTTTATAATCTTTGAATTGTCTCATTCGACTCTGCATTTTACTCTTTCGTTGTAATGTTTCTGACTCCAAGAGGTCATGAGTGACTGAAAGCCGAGAATTTTCATGATGCCTCCGCAGCCCTGCGGAGTCCACACAACCCCTTCTTTATGTTCCCGTGATGATATTCCTTAAGAGAAGAGTTCACTGCCACACATGGTATATTTCTCCAGGAATTTCATACATGATACTTAGGAGCAAATCATTCCATATTTCAGCACCCAAACTGCCACAAGCTCAGAAGAATGTGTAGGCAAAAATAGTCACAGAATAATGATTCCCCAATTTTCAATGAAAAAAAGAGTGAATAGCAAAAAGCATGGAAATGATGTTGTATTTCCTAATAAGGATTACGGGTACCCTGTAGTTTGTTAAAATATTCTATGATCCTAAAATTTCCAGCTGTATGGGGTTTTTTTAAAAAATGCACTTTGTACTTGTTGGCTTTTAAGATGGTTATTAAGTAAGACCAAAAAAGAAAGCATGT